TGTTTCGGCACTTAGCAATCAAAAAGGGATTGGGAGAGCAAGACTGGGATTACTGGAGTTACAGTGTACTGTACATTGAAGTGCTTGTTTAAAGAGCGCTGTTGTCTCACTCTGCCACCGCAGTGCCGTGCCAAGACTGCCTCTTCATAGTACACTACACTGGCACCGGAGATATCATACATACTAATGCAGCTACAACTTTTTATCTTAAGATTTTAGAGGCATAATTCATTTGTTGATTCTTTGAGTAATAAAATCCAATTCTGAACTCCTTCTTCTAATCTCATACAGACAAAGTTCCAGTTAGGGTCCTTTGTATGATTTTTGATACTTTACTTAACCAGAGCAGCCAAACGACTAATAATTCTCATTCAGAGACTCTGTCTTCACTTGTACTGCGTTGATAAAGATACTCACTGATCTGCAAGTACAGTACATCAAGTGAAGTGCACTTAGAACTATAAAGTTCTGAGCTGAATTTACCAAGGAGCAAGAATTGTATTGTATATACTGTATATACAGTACATAGCAGTTCACTCAACTTTAATGCTGTATATACAGTACATAGCAGTCCACTCAACTTTAATGCTGTGTTAAAAAAGCCTATAATGCCAGTCAGGCTGTGTGTAAAATGATATTCAGTTTTATAGTACCATCTGAGAAGGTTATATTGAAGGATTTTGCAAAGCTTTCCTGATGCGAAGCTGCAAGCCCGTGGAGCTCAAAGAACATTTTTGAATTTGGCTTTATGTATGCCCAAAGTAATGTTTTGAGCTCTGTCAGTGAATATTGGCTTTTTCTGATGTCTAACTTACAAACAAAAACAACTACTGCTGACATTCCAGTTCAACATCTCATGACCTTCCAGTTTGTCTTCGATCTGTACATAACATGATCTGTTTGCAAAAAGGGGCAATGAATTCTGTCTTGTGTTGGTTGCTTTCAAAAACAATATCTGATCAGTTGCCAACTTGATTAATCATCTATCCACTTGAATCTCTTAATTCTTCTATCAGATGAAGATCTTAATTATGACATCTGTACTAATATAAGGAACCTGTCTGTCTTTGCTGAAAAGGATTTGGGCTGTGCAGATTTATGGGTTTATTCCTGAGCACAGGTCACGAGAGTTCAGAAAGCTGTCCAGCCGAGGTCATCGCTCTCACCTGTCTGACACTTGTCCCCAATCCACCCCGGGAGACAGGTGCACTGTCCAGTCTGACGGTCACACTGGCCCCCATTCTCGCACTCACAGCTGTGCTGGCAGTCTGCTCCAAACCGGCCTGGGGCGCACTCTGCAGTCAGGGGAGAGACAGGGGAGGGGAGACAGGGACAGAGACAGAGAGGCTGAAAGAGGCAAAACAATAGTATGAAACATGAAACAACAGGACTTGAACTTTTGGACAAGTGGATGATAGTTTGCATATACACAGGTTTGGCATTTTAATAGCCTGGAGGAAATAACCATCGATCCATTCACTCATAATCAGAAAGCCCCTTATTCCCAGTGGGGGACACAAGTCCATCACAGGATAAGCACAAAAATACACAGGAACAGTTGAGAGATATGAACTAACCTAGCCAGCAAAATCTTTGGGAGGTGGGAGGAAATTGCCTCACTTGGCAAAAGCTCATGTGGACAGGAATAGAACATGCAAACTCCACACAGACAAGTGAAAGTTGGAATCGAACCCGGGAACCAGGAACTGTGAGGCAGGAGTGCGACACCCCAAGCCAGAAAATGATCAGTATCCACTGGACACAAACTGCACAGCTCATGTGATTCTTTTTCTGTCACCCTCTCCATGCTGGTACAAGTTCACTGTTTCTCTTTCAAGCCTCCTAGTTCAGCTCTTCAGTGATCTATGAACACTGTTTGGCACCAATGAAGTGTTTCCTTTTGCCCAAACATTACAGTAAAATATTTAGCCAGGGTTTGCTATAGCTTGTAAAAAGTTTAAAATACGCAGACAGGGATCAATAAAATGTGAGGAAGTATGTATGGGGGGAAAGACTGACTTAATTGCATTGTAAAATCTCCAGTGTCGGCTTCAGCACTGGAGCATGTCGTCTACAGCCATTAAAACCACCAACTACTGTATGTCAAAATTACCAAAAAGCACAGGGATGCAGCCATAAAAGAACAAAAATAATTCAGGATTATTGAAAAGCAAAAGAAAGCTAGTGTGAAGTGCACACAATGAGACATTGCATGGTTAACTTCATGACTATCCTGAAATTATTGTATTTGATTTCT